ATTGAATCATGCAGGACAAATTTTACTTCACCAGCATCTTAGTCCAGGATCCTATTTCAAAACCCAAATGGAAAGCAATAGTAATTCTGCAACATACCAGAGAAATATTTACTTAATTTGAAACTGAAGTCTTTTCAGCTTGTCAGACCTTAAATCATATGTCAGCAACTATCTTTTTCAATACTAATTAATTAAAGAAATGCAAAAATTAAATGAAACTCCATGTGGGAGAAAAAAAGTTGCAGTAACCATGGCACTGGGGACTTTGTGGGGTTTTAACTGCATCGGGAAGTAATTACACAACATTTTCCAGAAGTGAAACAGTGAGTGTAACTGGAAAAAAATGTGGAAACATTTAGTTAGAACAGTAGAGCAAGGTATTAAAGACCCTTTTAAGGGGTTAACTCTGAAGGAAAATATGCAAATAATTAGGTCTTTAAACATGCTTTTAATTACAATTCTAGGATAAAAGTCAAAGGTATAATTTGGTACTCGTGTGCTTTTCCTGAAAACTCCTTTCTTGCAAAGTGATGACTCTGGGGCTTGCATCACCGTGGGGACTTCGCCTGACAAGTGAGGGCACTTCAGAGAAGCATCTGCCAGCTCCCCTGGTGAGCTTCCTCCTGAGACCACAGAGTAAGGATACGGTCCCATGCCTCCTCTACATGCATTGGGAAGAGTTAACCCACAGACTTGGGTGGAGACACATGGTTTTCATCTTTACAGTAAAAACCCATTTATGCCAATATCTTCTCCGAGTTCTTAAGAATTTCAAGAGTTTTATGAAATGTGGTTTTCTGATTTCATGTTGAGTCCAGTTTTCCGTTTTCACCATCACTGTTGCAAAGTGGACGTCTCACTGTGAGCAAACCTATGTTGGCTGCATGACACAATTTCCTCCGTATGTGTGTTTTTAGAACATGGTAGTCTATTAAAAATTAATTTCACTGAATACAGTAGAGAGCGTGCAGGAGGCAAAAGAAAGAAAACTTCTCAGTCATAAGCAAGCATCTTGAGGGGATGAGTGGCTGGGCCAGGGGGATCAGGGACCGTGGTCCTGGGGTGGGGTGTGGGGAGGGGGCACCACGGTCAATTATCATAACAAAGCCTACAAAGACAATGTTGTATCCCACTTCGGTGAGTAGCAACTAGGGTCTTAAAAGGTTGTGAGCGTCCATTTAATGTGTAACTATTGGTCTCTCTTCATCTGGCACAAAGAACAGTGATGAAAATTGGAAGTATATGGAGACAATTAGTTCGATGGACTAATGGACCACACGAAAACCAGCTGCCATGATGCTGGGACCAGAAGAACCAGATGGCACCTGGCTACCGCTACCAACCACTCTGAAAGAGATCACATTAGTACGTCCTAGATAGTGGGAGAAAAATGTGGGCTCAAACTCAAAATCATCAAAAGACCAAGCTTACTGGTGGGATAAGGACTGGTGGGACCAGTCACCACTCAGGCCCAGAACTGAACTCACCTCCATGGCTTCATTTTCAGCCAACTCTATGAGGGGAACAGTAACATGAGGGAGGTACACACTCCTTAGAATATCAACCACTAGAGATTAAATGGGCAGCATTTGGCCCAGGGCAAAGTCAGAAGGCAGGGAAGGCAGGAAAAAGGAAGAATGGAAACAGGAAACACGGAATAGAGGTGGGATGCGTGAAGTTGCACTGTGAGGACTGCAGCCAATGACATCAAACAAAAAGTGCCTGAATTGTTGACTGGGAAATTTATTTGCTCTGTAAATCTTCACTCTATTCATAATGAAAAGTTAAAAGAAAGACAGACTTTTGCAAGAATGAGTCAACTTGAATGGGGTGTGTGTGTGTGTGTGTGTGTGTGTGTGTGTGTGTGTGTGTGAAGGTGAAATGAAAAGCACAAGACACAGAACTCATTTAAACACTGACCAAACACTCTGAAAACACTGACCAGGGGACACAAAGCAATACAGATGCGAAACCGCAACTAGCTATCTGTCATTCATTCAACAAATAGTTATTGAGGGCCTACGATGTACCAGACAGCACTCTAGGTGTTGAGGTAAAGAGAGCAGATGAAAATCCCGGCCCTCATGGGGAGACCATTCAAGGAGATTCTGTACTGTCTCCTGCCAGATCTGACGAGTCACTCTCTGGACCTCCAATCCTAAGGCCAGAAGAGTCCTGTCAATAAAATGGCAGCTGTGGCACTAAATCCCCCAACTCCCAAGAAGGCGGGTAGAGGAAGTCCTCTCGGGCGTGAAACTGAATGGGATATTACCGCGTGATGACGAGGGTTGAGTCGAAAACAGTTGTTTTTCTTGTTAATTACCATGGAGTCCCTTCTGACTCATGGAGATGCAGGTGTGCTCCATTGGGGGTTTCACGGCTGTGACCTTTTTAGAAGCAGAACTCCAGGTCTGTCTTCTGATGTGCCTTAGGGTAGGGTCAAACTGCCAACATTTTGGCTGCTAATTGAGTGTCAACTGTGTCACAGCAGGATCTATGAATGCAAGGCCATTATCAAGAGACTTTCTAATAACAGTGAAGGGAATTTGGTCACACACAACAGATGTAGGAAGATGCCAAGGAGGAGCTCTAGTGGTTTGGTGGGTTAAGCGTTGAGTGGCTAAATGAAAGGCCAGCGGTTTGAATCCACCAGCTGCTCCATGGGAGAAAGAGGTTGGCAGTGTGCTTCTGTAACGATGTATACCCTAGGGAACAGTTCTACTTTGCCCTAGAGGGTCAGTGACCTGAAGGCAGTGGGTGGGGTGGGCAGGAAGATGCTATTCTAGCCAACAAGCAACAAATGAAATCTGGATTTGACTTCTGATATCTATATCTCCATTCCAATGTTGTTGTTAGGTGCCATAGAGTTGGTACAGACTCATAGCGACCCTATGCGCAACAGGGCGAAACATTGCCCGGTCCTGGGCCAACCTCACAATTATTGCCCCGCTGGAGCCCATTGATGCTGTCACTTTGCCAATCCATCTCACTAGGGGTCTTCCTCGTTTTATACATTTCATTTTTGACAATTTCCAATTTTCCTAGATTCATACTTTGTACATTCCATGTTCTGATTATTAATGGATGTTTGCAGCTGTTTCTCTTCATTTTGAGTTGTGTCCCATCAGCAAATGAAGGTCACGCAGGATTTACTCCCATGAGCTTTACTCCACTCGTGTCATCACGGTCAACTCTACAGTTGCATTTTGAGTACCTTCCAACCTGAGGGGCTCATTTTCCGGCACTATATCAGACAGTGTTTCTCTGCTATTCATAAGGACTTTAGTGACTTAATATTCAGAAGGAGTTCATCACTTCTTCTTCCTAGTCTGTGTTTGTCTGGAAGCTCATCTGAAACCTGTCCACCAAGGGTGACCCTGCTGGTATTTAAAATACCCATGGCATAGCTTTCAGAATCACAGCAACACACAAGCCACCACAGTATGACAAAGTGACAGACTAGGGGTGGTCCATTCCAACACAACAGCAAAAATATGAGATGAGATCAGTCCAGCACCATGGTTCACATTGACACCGAAGACTATCCTGAGAGTTAATCTCCACTCTAGACATACATCCACTGACCCCAACATTCACAGCCCTCAGGACCCTCCCTAGCTTGCTTTACCTTAAAGAATAGAAATAAAGATGACAAGATATTACATTAGAACTTTGCTCTTCACCAGCTACAACCAATTGCTTTCTCTGGTTTTAAAGTTTTAGTATCTATTCAGGTTGTAGAATACTTTATGCTAGAAGGCTTTTGCAAAATATCCTAAAGTAGTTGAATTCTACTATACCAACTAGGAATAATTTCACTAATGGGAAATATCACAAAAAACCAAGAATATGAGGCTCCATACTCAAAGAAGAACAAAATAATCTTAAGAAAATTACAGTTTCCAAAGTTTCAACTACTGTTTGCTTGCTACTTATCTAGCAATGAAAACCCCGTGGCTGTTGAGTTGATTCTGACCCATAGAGATCTCTAGGACTGAATACACGTGCTCGCAGAGTTTGTCAAGGCTGTATACGGGTTTCTGGTGTGGAGCTGTAGTAGGATTAGCACTCAACTGTGAACCATAATGTTGGCAGTTCAAATCTACCAGCTGTTCCTCAGAAACCCTATACCAGGAGTTGGAACCGACTCAATGGCACTTACCAACAATAACATACTGTATATACAGAAGAACAAACAAACCTGTCTTACAAGAAATACAACCAGAGTGCTCCTTAGAAACCACAATGGCGAGACTTAATCTATCTTACTTCAGACTTGTTATTAGGAGAGACCAGTCCCTGGAGAAGGACATCGTGCTTGGTAAAGTGGAGGGTCAGCGAAAAAGAAGACCCCCACAATGAGCTGGAGTGACACAGTGACAGCAGCACGGGTTCAAACAAAGCAATTGTGAGTTGGCGCCGTACTGTGTTTTGTTCTGTTGTGCATACGGTTACTATGAGTTAGAACCAACTCAATGGCACCAAACCACCACAACGTAGCAACCTCATAGGCCAGAGGAGAACTGCCCCACAGGGTTTCTGAGGATATATGGAAGCAGACTGCCTCATCTGTCTCCTGTGAAGTGGTTGGTGGGTTTCAATCACCAACCTTTCAGTCGGCAGCCAAGCACTTAAGCACTGCATCACCAGGGCTCCTCAGCAAACAATACAATACCAAAGTCTAAGAAAAATTTACTGGGAAAAAGAAAACGAAACTGAGAACACTTTATCCATTATCTTTCCTCTTGGAACTAACTGGAGAAAGCCTGCCAGTTGTTAGGGAAAACAAACAAACAAACAAAAACACCCACCAAGGTTCTGTTCTGGAACACAGTTTGAGAACCACTGCTTTGAGTACATGGCTATTAGAAGAACTTATACCTAAACCTATGGAAATGTGGGACCAAGAGTTCTTTGGGTCAGTGGAAATTGCTCAGATATGAGAGAGAAAAGACAACTCAGGGGCCCAGCAGGGCTGGCTTTTCACGGCCCTGACTTACAATTCATCTTGGCTGTTGTCTGTCAGTTTGAAGAGCTGCTCCTGTCCTTCCGCTTGGCTCTCAGAATAGCGAGGAAGCAGCCCTTGGGGCCCCGTGCAGCAACGCGGCTTCCGTACCCTCTGTGCTTGAGTCCTAGTGGGCAAAATGGATAAAAGGCAAAGTTAAGAGTTACGTTTAAAATGATTCCCCTTCCATATCTGAAAAAAAAGCACCATATAATATAAACATAATTGAAATTTAGTGACCAGGATTAAAAGACCTGTGAGTGCACTTTAGAACAGGGGTCAAAGACTCCATTTTGTTTTTTTTCCCCCTCTGGTAGCGCAGTGGTTACGAATTGGGCTGCGAACCACACGGTCAGCAGTTTGAAACCACCACTTCCTTCCATGGGAGAAAGATGAGGCTTTCTGCTCCTGTGATTTTTTTTTTTTTTTTTTTAATGCTTTATTGTGAATTATGTGATAGTTTACATGGGAGGACATCAACTTTACATTCATCCTATCGTATATCATTTCATTGCCATGATTACAATCCCCTCCGTGAATCATCAACCAACCAAAGGGTATACACTACAAGCCTGCCCCCCGGTCGTCAGCACACAGCACCTCTCCCTCTCTGTGTCTAAAGTCTCCAACTGCTCCATCTCTCCACGTCATCATCTCTGCCTCCATCTCTGGCATCACTGCTTCTCTGGGTCCCTACCCTTGATGGTCCCCTGCTCCCAGACTGCAAAGTTAATCACTCCCCTCCTTGCTACAAAAACGTCTACCTTTACATTTCCAACCCTCACAATCAGTCCTGTTAACAGTTATTCATTATTGTATCACAAGAGACCTATCCACATGTCCTTTCATCAGCCCCGCCAAGACAGATTGGATACTACTCAGCGGAGATTCCACCTTCCTCCATGCCCTCTGGATCTAGGTTCCCTCTTGAAAGCTTGTAAGCCAGTCACTTCTTGCCTTTGTAGGCCCCCCACAAAGACTCCAGTTTTGAAGTAGAAGCCTCCCTCTGCCTCACAAGGAGACGCTAGATGATCACAGGGCAGACTAGTTACCGTCTTTCCCCCACTTCCAGTTGTCCTTCTAAAATGGAGATTGTTGCTGTTGTTAAGTGTCGTTGAGTCGGTTCTGACTCATAGCGATCCTGTCTAGGGTTTCCGAGGAGCGGATGGTGGGTTTGAACTGTCAGCCTTGTGACTCAAACTGACCTTTCATTCCAGTGTATTCACAGGACTGTTGTGAAGAGCAAGTGAAATCCCACCTACCAAACCTGGGCTTAACCGAATGTGGGCTCTCCACCAATGGTGGCTTCTGTCACTTGCTCCCGCCCGACTTTCCTATATATCTCTGCAAGAGAGTCACCTCTGGATTTCTAATGGATTAGGAAGAAGAGTGAGGTATGTGGGCATTCCTCAAGAACACACCAAACGCTGGAGAGCTGGCTGCCAGGGTACTGGGTGAGGGATGCAACCACCATGGGAGGAGAAGAAATACCCATAGGCTGTCCCAGGCCGTAGTCTGGAGTTCTGCAGCGCTGCTAACACAAGCCACTCAGCGGTCGGTTGCCCAAAGGAATCTGCTTTGCTGTGGTTTTCAGAGGAGGCTTGCATTGTCTTTTTCAACAAATGATATGCAGGGTAATTGCTAAGTGCTTTTTGGTGTTTTCCTAGAAACAGGAGTCCATATTTGTCTTGGAAAGGCTGTGCATATTTCAGATGACTGATAAGAGTGTGCTGATCTGTCCTCGGCCTGTACTCGCTGTACTTTTTATTATTTGTTCCTGGAGCCCATTGAAGCAAAACACCCCTTTCTAGTCATAGCTAACTAGGAGAGGAACAGGCTTACACACTGAGTCAGCACTTTAGAATCAGGAGGGCACAGACGTACTTCCAAGGCCAAAGCGAGTCCAGGTGGGCAAGTCAGGGGAGTGATATGGACAAAAACAGTCAGAAACTCATCCTATGCCATGTAGCGGGTTAGCTACTAACAACACCGTGCCCAGGGCACACTGGGTGCATCAGACCGTGGGATCCATACCCGAGTGAGGTTAGCTACGTGCCAGAAAGCCAGAAACCCAGTGGCCATTTTTTAAAAGTTCAGTTATAAGGCTGGCTTGAGTACCACGAATTGAGCTCTTCAGTGATGATGTAAGAGGGTCAATAGGCTGCAGGAAAGGGAAGGGGAGAGGGTGGTTTCATCTGTATCAGACACTCACTATATATACCCATCAGTCCCACTGCTAGTGGAGTGGTTATGAATCGGGCTGCGAACCACAAGGTCAGCAGTTCGAAACTACCAGCTGTTCCATGGGAGAAAGATGAGGCTTTCTGCTCCCATAAAGATCTGCAGCCTCGGAAACCCTGTGCAGGGTCACTATGGGTGGGAACTGACTCCACGGTACTTAACAACAACAAGTCCCACTGCTGTTGAATGGATTCCAACTAAGAGCGATCCCAAAGGACCCAGGAGAACTGCCCCATAGGGGTTCCAAGGCTTCATCTTTATGGGTGCAGACTCCGAATCCCGTGGGTCAGCTGGTGACTCTGAACCAACAACATTTTGGTGAGCAGTCCAGTGCTTAAACAATGCCCAACCAGGGCTCCTTACACCGCTATGCCTAGTTTTAATACCTTCTTAAATTTTCGGCCTGTTTTTGGCTATTTAAGACCCCAACTATTGATTGGAAGTGGGAAGGGCAGCAACGGAAGCTAGTGCTAACCCATCCATGGAGAAGTTCAGCAACTGTTGTTTTAAGGGTGGGGGAGTTTCAAAGTTCTACAAATGGGGGGGCATCAAGGGGAAGGTGATAAACAACCACTGTTCTTGTCTCCTTGCTTAGTGACATATCCACTATCATTGCTAACACTGCCCCGGACAGGCAAATCAAGTGTCTTTTCCCCAAGCAGTCCTACTACTGTGTTACCCAGGGGGTTCCTCCAAGGGGTTCAGATTGTCAAGACATAAACCAAAGGTTCCTCCAAGAAGCACCTGGCGGGAACTGCTTCCTCATGGCCTTTCAATAGAAAGTTTCATTTGGCTTCTGCTCTTCCTCTCACCACATCTACCCCAACTACTGGTAAATCCCGCAGGCTCCACCTTCAATATCCACGGCAAATCCAACTACTCAGTTTTCATCATAGTGAACAAATGATCCGGGCAGGTGTACTGGATTGTTACAATAGCTTCTGAATGCATTCTCTCTGCTGCACTCTCTCCTCAGGACAAGCACAACCCTTTCAAAACGTGACTGATCAAGTCACTCATCTGCTCAACACCCATTCGCTCTCTATACATCTCACTGGGGAAAACACGTTTGCTTATTGCTTGACTTCACATCTGGAAAGATGCACAACAACAGGGGCTTTGTTTCATTCACTGCAATCCTGGGGTTGGAGGCAATCAGGCTTCAGTGGTACAAGCCTCCCTTTCCATACGGGAGACCTACATTCAATTCCTGGCCAAGGCACCTTAAGCAGAGTCACTGTCAGTCTGTCAGTGGAGGCTTGTGTGCTGCTATGATGCTCAACAGGTTTCATTGCAGCTTCCAGACTAAGAAAAACTAAGGAGAAAGGCCTGGTGATCTCCTTCCAGAAAATCAGCCCGTGAAAACCCTATGAGTCACAAAGGTCTGATCCCACTGAGTCAGGGGCTGACCTGAAGATCACTAACACCAACAACTAACAAATTAAGCTTGGAATCTAGAACTGTGCCTGGCTCCTGGTAGGAAAACAATCTATGTTAACTGAATACATATAAACATTCGGGGCTGAGGCGTAAGGAGATGGCAGTCTTAGGAATATTCTTCTCCTTTTTTTTAAGGTTTTTATTGTGGATTGAGTGAAAGTTTACAGGGCTGATTTGTTGAAGTTTTACATTCAACAAATCATACAGACCTTGTTTCATTACAATGATTATAATCTCCTTCATGAACCATCAGTTAACAGTATTTCTCTGTATTCACTTTAACTTTCTTTTTTTAAAAAACAAAACAAAAAAACACTCAGGCATATATAACAATTTACACCTCCAAAGGGCACATTCTGCAAGTTTGCCTCCTGGCCACCAGCTCTTAGTCCCTCTCTTCCCATGAAGCTAAAGACCTCAGCCGCTGCCTCTCTCCATGTCTCCATCTCTGCCTCCTTCTCTGTCTTCTCTGGATAGGGTCCCTCATTCCTCTCATGCTCTTCTCCCTTGATGGACCTAGGGTCCTCTGTTTCTGGACTTTAAGATTAACCAAACCCTGTTTTTGTTACAATTATGACAGTCACAAGTAGTCATGATAACAATTACTCACTAGTGAATCATAAAATCTTGTCCCCATATCTTTTTACCAGACCCATCAAGGCAAGATGAACTATTCAGTGGGGACTCTTTCTCCCCCACCCACCTTCAACGAAACTCCCTCTTGAAACCTTGTATGCCAGTCACTTTGTGCCTTTATCGCCCCCTCATTTTAGGTAGTCAATGTCTAAGTTGCCCAACCCTATCTACCCTGTGTACAGAGGGGAGAGCATTGATACTTGATGTGAAGACTCCTTCCCTCTCTGTTGGTATTTAGAGTTACTACCTCCATGAGTATAGGTCAGGTTCATCAAATTGTAGCAATTTACCCTTGTTTCCTTTATCAAAAAAAATTTTTTGTGTGTGTAATCTTCCTGTAGTCAAGTTCTGATTATCAAGCCATCAAGGCTAGGTCAAATGGGTACTGTCTGCAAGTTTGGGTGTTCTTGTGCATCTCCCCTCAATTCGTATCAGCTGGATGCTTCACTCTTAGCCCTAGCCCTCTGTGGCTATGTCCTTGTCCATGGGCTCAAGTGTCCCCAGGTCTCACCACACTTTGGACCAACCAGCTCTTCCTCTTCTCTCTCTCATCTCCAGGTCAAAGGTCGTCAATGGACTGTGGTTGAATTCAGTCCATTTCTTCATTGCTGCCTTTCCCCCTCTTCCACTCACTAGTAGACCAATTTTATCGCCAGCAGTCTCACATGCCTGTTTATATGCTTCCTTTAAGTCTTAGGGGCGAGTTTGTCCTGAAGCAACTTGATTGCTTGCCTTGATGGCTTCCTGGCAAACAGCTTGCTTATTCTTGGAGTAGCCAAGAATGTCATGCTGACATTTTTGTTTGGGGTT